ATGAGTTTTAAAGGTGTGGTGTGGACATTTGGCATGAATAAGACTATTACTACCTCTTAATGTTTGCCCTGTACATCAAATTATGTCAAAGACCACAGGTGGTGGTTTTCAACTCTTGTGTTAGGAGCCAATAACTGTCCTATCAGAGCAGTTTAAATGAAATTCTGGCCTTATGAACCAGAGCATCTAGCCAAAATGCTCCTTCTTTTTTCAAAGTTTTATTGATATCATGCAGATATAGATTTGATTTTGTTGAATTTGACAGTTCTGCATTGTGCCAACCAGTGTCCTATCAGAGCAGTTTAAATGAAATTCTGGCCTTATGAACCAGAGCATCTAGCCAAAATACTCCTTCTTTTTTCAAAGTTTTATTGATATCATGCAGATATAGATTTGATTTTGTTGAATTTGACAGTTCTGCATTGTGCCAACCACTAGGTAGTCCCACAAGTGAATGTTTGTATTCTGTTCCTAAAGGAGCTTTTGAAGCAGACATGTACACAACTGATATATTAGATTATCAGAAAAGAGAGCAGCTTTGCATGAAGAATCACTAAAAGTGAAGTCAAAAAGCGTTTTGCTCATATTCAGAAATCATTTTATGTCTTTGTGTAACTTTTTGTTTATTTGAATGAATTTTTTTTCCTTCTAGGTTTGTTTTTTGTTTAGATATTGAATATGTAAACCTTCCTGGTTTAAATATTTAAATAAATATTTAGCTATTTTGTACCAGCAGACAGATATCTTTTAGCTTCTGTTCATAACTGTGCTTAACAACAGAATTCTTAAACTGTTCTTGTCATGGTCTGAGTCAAGCGTAAGTAATAATATTGCATAAATTAATTGACTCGTAATGTTGTATGGATTGCTTTCTCTAATGAAGTTAGGAAACATTCAGAATTTGATTTGTTCTAATAGTAAGTGAAGGTTTGAAGACTGGTGTAAATATATATAGAAGAGGGAATACCATAGCAACTTCTTTTCAACAACATTAACTTTTATTATTATTATTATTATTTAACAACATTACTGGAATGATCATTTGCTTTGAGATAATCTGTTAATTGGACACAAGTCAATTTAAACTCTAGTTTGTCTGCTATAGAGTGGATTTCTAGTTTTAGGATTAGGATTAGTTCATCCCCCATTACCCTCCTCCCAACCTATGTTTTCATATTGTTTTCAAGTGCATTTATTTTAAGCATTACATAAATTTTATAACACTATACATATCAAAGGAATTGTTATTTCAGTTTAGTAATTTAACGTAGAAGATGGATATAAGCTGTGGTTCTTGTCATCACTTATTTAGCCATTTGCATTTAGGATTTTTTTGTATAAAGTTACAGTATATCAAAATAATTCAAATTTCAAAATATTTTAAAATGAGAAGTGATGTAACCTATTAATATACTAACCTTTGTAATTATAATTCGGTTAGCCAGTTTTTATTCTGGGCAGTATTTTCTTTATCTCCATGCTGATGTTTTGTCTACTTGTTCTTTCAAGTACTGAGATGTGAGGTATTAAAATTTCCAACTGAAGTTATGGATTTGTCTATTTCTTTCTTTAGTTCTGTCAATTTTTGCTCTGTTTATTTTCAAACTCATTTATTAAAGATGCATATCTGTTTAGAATTGTTATGCCTTCCTTACTAATTACTCCTTTTATCCGAATTACCCTCTTTAACTCTTATAATACTCTACTTTGAAGTCTACTTCATTATTCATATTGCTATGCCAACTTTCATTTCCTTGCTGCTGCATGGGATATGTTTTTCCATCCTTTTATTTTCAATTCATTTGATCTTATATTTAAACTATATAAGTTTAGGTCTTTTTAATCTATTTTGATAATTTCTGTTTATTAATTGGAGTATTTAGTTCATTTCTACTTACACATAATTAGACTTTAAAATTGTAGAGTCTGCTGAGTCTCTGTTCATATTCATTTATTCATTTTTGAATTTATTCCTCAGATTGATTTGTGTTCATGTTTACTGACTTCCTCCAGTGAATTTTTCATTTCAGTTATTGTATTTTTCAGTTACAGAATTTCCAATTGGTTATTTGTTTGTAGTTTTCATTACTCTGTTGATATTTACTTCTGTTCATTCATTGAGACTATACTTTCTTTTGTTTCCTCAACATATTTTCCTTTAGTTCTCTCAGCATACTTATAAGAGCTATTTTAAAGTATTTGTCTGCTAAATCCAACATCTTTTGAGGTCATTTTCTATTGACTGTTTCTTTCTTGATGATGAGTCTCATTTTTCTTTTTCCCTATCTAGTAATTTTTAAATAATATACTGGACTTTCCAAAAGTGTGATAGAGACTCTGGATTTTGTTATTTTTCTTTCAAGAATATTTTGCATTTTGTAAGTGTAGATGTGTGGAAATATTGAGATGTTTCCCAAGTCCTTTTAACTTGGTAGGACTCACGCTCCAAATTCAGCTCTTCTTTCAGTCTTTTATGATTTGACATTAGGCTTTCTTAGGCAAGGCTGGAGTAGGGCTTACTTTAAAGCATGGTTCTTTCTTCTAAGATGTGTCAGCTGGATGCCCAGAAAATTAGCAAGATTTCTGTACTTTTGCTTGGCTGGAAATCTGGTGTCCTTCAAATGCTGCTTATCTTCTACTGTTTCTGTTCTACTGTCAAGCCCATAGCAGGTGCTCTCTGGATAGCCCACACTTTAGCCGGGTACTCTGTTCAGCTCCTAACTTTTCAGTTTCCTACTCAGCATAACCCAACTACCTCATTTGTCTTGAACTTTGATTTCTTCCTCTTCAACTTAGCAGGACTGCTGTACTTTGCTTAGGCAATCACTTGCTGTGTGCTGGTTGGGATATTGACTTCAAGCATATTTCCTGGGCAATTATGGGGTTGATGTGGTGAATTCCTCATTTCTCAGGGATTAGTCTTGTGCTGTTTACTTTACAAAGCCTGAAAACAGTTGCTTCATATATTTTACCATTTTGATGGTTGTTTATAATGGGAGGGCTAGCTGGTACCAGTTACTCCATTGTAGACAGAAGTGTATGATTCTGAGTGATAAATATTTGTATTTATTGAGTTATGCTAGGACTTGTTTGTGTTTTCTATTAGTGCTTTTATTCAAGTCCACTGAACAAGTAAATTTTTTTTAACCTGGGTTTTGTTAGAGGAAAGAAAAACTTCCTCTATTAAAGAGGTACAGTATTTTATGATTTTCTAAAATGTTATTGCATTTCATATAGTATCTGATCTGTAAAACATGATGGTTCTTCCCTGTCTCCTCTGAGAAAGACATGCGCATTTCTTTGGTTATCTTATTTTTTTTTTGTCAATATAAGTTTCTAGATGTGTATAGTATTTGACAAAAGGTAACTATAAATATTACTTGAGCAATCTTTCTTAAGATTGGAAATTCATAGTCTGGCTAGTTATCAAGAAAAAACTTTCGAGGATATTAATTTATCAAATATTTAGTGAATGTCTACTTTATTGACTGCGGTGGCATTGTACTTGCCACCAGGGATATAAAGGAGAACAAAACAGGCATGAATTATTCCTATCCTTGTTGAGTTTACATTCTAATATGGGAAATAGGCAATAAATACAAAGAAAGAACATAAAAAAATTACAAATTATGGTAACTACTAGGAAGGGAAAAAATGAGTTCTGAGGTAGAGAGCAATGAGTTTCTACTTTGTGTAGAGTGATCAGAAAAAGCTCTTTGAGGAATTGCATATTTTAGCTGAGCAGGTGGGTAAGGGGATAGGTAGAACTGACATGATATGCTGATAAATTTGATAAGCTGTTTGAGAGAGAAGAAGGTTCCAAAGGGTTTTTTTAGCCAGAGCAAGTGGAGGGATGAAGTTGCCATTTACAGAAACGGGGAAGACTGTAGGAGAAATAAATTCAGAGATAAACATTAGGAGTTTCAGTTTTGGACATCCTACTAGACATCCAAGTATAAATGTTAGCAGTTGTTGTTTATTATAACTATCCAACTATTATAATCTTCATTAAATATTTACTGGCTCTGTGGTAGACTGTTTGCTATGTTCAGGGAATTAAAAGGTGGTCACAAATAGACACTGTTTTTGCCTTTATGGAATTTACAGTCTAATGGGAAAGATAAGAATTGATGAAATAAGCATATCACTGGTAGTTAGTTTTTTTCCTTTAAAAAAATAACCTTTTAAATAGGGTGTCTAGAAAGAAATAGGGTGACTTAACAAAATCACAGGTGTATCCCTTGATATCTAAATTTATTAGGTTCTTATATATAGTGAGGGATAATAGGTACATTGATGTTTCAGACTAAAATGCTTTTTTCAGTAGACATATCTTACATATTTCTCATTTAAAAATGTCTTATTGTTAAAATTAGTTAGCTTAATTAACATGAGGGAATGAAGCTTTGTGAATTTAGCTTTATTCAGATGAAATGAGATAGTTATACATTGAACCTAATATAAGAATTATTGTATATTTTATGAAACACTTAGGCTGTTGGAAATTTTGTCCTTTGTTTCCTTCATTAAAAATATTATGCTTGGGCCGGCCCGGTGGCGCACTGCTACAGTGCGCCGCGCGCTCCCGCCGAGGGTTCGGATCCCACATACAGATCGGCCGCTCACTGGCTGAGCGAGGTGCGGGAGCAACACCGAGGGTTGCGATCCCGTTGCCGGTCCCGGTCCGGTATGGGCGCGACACTGAGGGTTGCGATCCCGTTGCCGGTCACGAAAAAAGACAAAAAGGGGGAGGGTTGCGATCCCGTTGCCAGTCCCGGTCCGGTATGGGCGCGACACTGAGGGTTGCGATCCCGTTGCCGGTCACGAAAAAAGACAAAAAGGGGGAAAAAAAAATATTATGCTTTTACTTTTTATTAGTTAGCTAAGGATCATTTTGTTTTGCAACTGGAGTATTTAATAATAGCATTATAGTGTAATCTGTTCACCATTCTCATAATATTAAAGTTTTAATATTTTTTGTGTTTTAAAAAAATCAACAGGTTCGTCATAAGGCATCACAGAAGGTTTATGCTATGAAGCTTCTTAGTAAGTTTGAAATGATAAAAAGATCAGATTCTGCTTTTTTCTGGGAAGAAAGAGATATTATGGCCTTTGCCAACAGTCCCTGGGTGGTTCAGGTAAGCCTACTAACTTTTATAAGTGTATTTCCTTTTTTTAATGAGTGCTTATTATTCATAAAAGTAGGTTTTGTGTGCTGAAAGTCCTATGCCTCTTTCTCATACTAGCAACACAGTTATTTTTAATAAGATCTGATTCAGTACACTTGTTTAATGTTCCTAAACAGTATGTCCACATAGACATGACATGTAATAATTACTAAAGTGGTACATGGAAGCAAGTACTTGCAACTTTTTCTTTTATAATTCCTTTATAAAGAATTGCCTTGGTCACCAGTATGCCGTTATTCTCTACCAACCCCTTCTTGTGATTTACATAGTAGGAACATATGTAAATTCATTGAATCATTTGGAGTATATAGTGTGTGTTTGTGTGTGTGTGTGTGTGTATGTGTGTATATATATATATATATATATATATACACATACACACACACATATATATACACTACTATTACTTAGAAGTTTGTTACATTAATTAGCCTATCCTGAAAAGAAAAAAAAAAAAAACTTCCTACAATAAACGTTTTGAAAAATCTCACACAGTCATTTATATATTACCTAAAAAGTAGTATGGTTTTAGGTCTCCTATTTCTGCCTCTTATGTGACTGTGGATTAAGGCATTATGGTTCTGTTTTGCCTCCTTTTCCATTATATCCCTCATCAGCTTTGTTTCTTTTCTTTTTTTCTTTTTTAAATAATTTATTTTATTTATTGAATCTAAATCGATTATACATATTTTTGGGGTTTAACATTGAGATATGTTGATTAAATGAGTATTAC